GGGCAGGTGCTTATGCTGCTGAGCTATCTTCCCAGCCCTATTAAGTGGACTCCTAAAGAATATATCACAAGCCAGGTGTTGTGGCACATGCAGGAGGATTAGTTCAAGGCCAGCCAGGACTACATATTGAGAACCTATTGCAAAAGGAGGGGGCTGGGGAGATGGCTCAGTAGAATAAGTGCTGGCCTGGCAAGCACAAGGGCCTGAGTTTAATCCCCAATTCTGAAAAAAAAAAAAAATCATAGCAGACAGGATGTAAAATAGGGAGAGTGCTGGGGTGGGGCCTGGGGGCTGGCTAAGAAGACTGACACTATTTAGCCTCTGTCTCGCTTTTAAACTTTTCAAGACCAGCCAGAAACCAGGATTTCTAGTACAAATGCATGAAGTAAATTAGCACAAATTATTGCACGGGCTGAGTTCCGTCTCCTGCTGGTGTGCTGTGCAGCCTGTGGTCAGTCCAGACCTCTCTGATCTGTACCCTGCTGAGATGGCCCCTGGACTGGAAGGGGAGGGGCGGTGGGGGAGGGGCGGGCCCGGGCCTCACCGAGCTCCTCTTCTGTCATGGGCAGGAAGTGGTCCACCAGCTCTTCCGACTTGCCCAGCACCACGTCCACAGCGTGGCTCACAGAGCGCTTCAGCTCCACGCTCCAGCGCCGGCTCCGCCGGGCCAGGTCCACCACTCCTGTGACCCCACTGGCCACTGTGTCCTTGGCCGAGGTCACCACCTGGCAAAGGAGATCTTGCTCCAGGCACCAGTTGTCTCTGGCTCTGTCTGCTGACCCCAGCTCCCTGGGGTAGGTCCCCAAGTCCTCTAGACTTTTTCCTGGTTCTGTACCTGTTTCTCCCTTATAGAAGGGGGAATAAAATGCTCCCCACAGGGCTTGTGGGGCATCCCAAGCGCCTACTGCGCGGTGTGTGTCAGCGCATTATTTTACACAGCTGGACTGGCAGGTCCTGCTCCAGGACTAGCCGGGCCAGCCCTCCCTCTTGGGTCAACTCTGGCCCCACAGCTGAGGTCCCCATGCATGGTCTGGTCACCCCAGGTACCGTGTCTGAAGGCTGCTGGAGAAAGGGCAGCTTCTCTTCCAGCTTGTCCAGGCCCCTGCAGGCGAGATCGTTCACTGTGGCCACTGAAGAGAGACGGGGAATAGGGACACAAGGAGAGCTACTGAGGGAGGGAGCGTGAGGGAGGGGCAGACGCACAGGGAGGAAGGTGGACGATGGGGGCGACCGGGAGGGACAGAACAGAAGGGAACAGAGGGCTCCAGCCCAGAAGGTGGCTGGCGGACCACAGAAGTGGCAGGTTTCCAAGAGCTCTTGAGCAGCCACAGACCTGGGCTGAACCCTAGGACCCTGGGAGAGGGAGGGAGACAGAGGAGGCCAGGCCAGGGGGGACAGGGTCAGAGGGCTACCAGCCAGTGAACAATTCCTGGCAGGGATTGGAGACCCTGGGGGGCCACCAGGTGAGGCCCTGGCTCCTCAGCCCTTCTGCCCAGCCCCAAGGTGACTCCACAGCTCTGGTGGCCGCTCAAGGTCATGGGAGCCCCTGGGAAGGAGCTAGGACTCAAAGTGACCTCTTCCCTGTCACATGGGAGGCGAAGAGTCTTTCTGCCTTCTACAGAGTACACCCCTCTGCTGGTGAAATGTGAGAGATGGTGGCAGGGCTGAGGCAGTGGGCTCAGGACAGGCAGAGGAGGGCCGAAGGGGACCACAGGCAACAAGTGTGGGGAGGGGTCAGGCCAAAAGCCGGGTGTGGTTGTGCATGCCTGTCATCCCAGCTCTTGGGAGGCTGAGGCAGAAAGATTTGCTGAAAGCTCAAGGTCAGGCCCTGGCTTCTGTCCCCAGTGCCACCAAGAGACAAAGGGAAGGGACAGAGGACAGTGCATAGGGATGAGCTGGATTGAGGCAGGCAGAGAAGGGAGGAGCTGGAGGGCAAGTTGCACATTCTAGGCCAAGGGGACAGCAGACAGCTGAAGAGGGACAGCCACTTGGGACGGCCACAGAGCTGCCATGCTGCTGCGCCGGGTGGGGACTCACACTGGGGCTGCAGATGGCCCAGCAGAGGCTGGGCGTGGTCCAGGGCGCACGTGGCCAGGCTGCACACGCAGTGCTCGGCCAAGCGGCAGGCGGAGCCCAGCAGTGGGTGTCTGTCCTTGGTAGCGTTGTATGCATTGGAGACGCTGGCACAGGTGGCCCGGACGAGGGGCAAGGCCACCACACGCTGTACAACATTCTGTGGGAATGGGTGTACCACGGGGACTCTGAGGTCACAGAGGGCTAAGCCATACATGTTAGGCCTCTCTGGGGGAGGCTGAGGCCGGAGGATCACTACAAGCTCAAGGCCAGTCTGGACTACGTAGTGAGACTTGGTCTCAAACAACAACAAAGGTGCAGAGAATGCTATGTCCACTCTGACTGTGGTCAGCGAGGGTGACAGTGGACAGAGCCATACAGAGGAACTCAGAGAGGGCTGAGAATGCTGGGTGTTCTGAGCCCCCTCTCTGGTCCATGCTGTCCTCAAAATCTGCCTCTCCCAGCAAGGATGGGGGAGAGGACACCTGGCCTGAAACTGACCCGGAACAGCTGTTCCCAGCCCTTCCTGGTGCCCCTGTTTGGTGGCGGGGGGAGCCCCACCTGTTGGTTGTGCTCCTCCGAGCTGGGTCTGGGTTCCGGAGTGGCCTCATTGTCAGACATGGTGGCTGCACGGAGGGGCACCCTGGGGGAGGGCAGGACACAGTGAGGGATCTGTGGCCCAAGCCAGCCCTGGCTCCCGCGCGGGCCTGGGCTCCTGGCTGGCTGCGCTCTGTGCAGGTCTCATCTGTGAAACAGGGCTTCGCGCAGGGCCTGGGTAATGCACACGTAGTGTACCCACAGTAAAGTGCCGCTGGCACGGTGGGCTGCTGCTGTGTGGCTTTGGGTGAGCCCCTTCCCCTCTCTGGGCAGTTTCCTTTTTTGTACACCGGGATGGGGTCCTGCTGCCCATGCCAGGGTCAGACCTGCACAAGCACCCACACACACACCAGTAGAGAGGGGATAGCTGCAGAATTCGGATCAGCCCCACACTTCACCTGACAGATGGGACAACTGAGGCACACCGCAGGTCCGCGCAGTCTCACGGCAGGGAGCTGGACCTTAGTCTTCAAATTTGTTGCCTGCTTTTCCTTCCCTTTGCCACTCGGTGCCCTTGGCGCGTTGGTATCCTCCCAATTGGGTCTTGAGCCTTCGCCAACTGGGCCAAGGGTCTGGGACACCTGCTCTGGCCGGTCACACCCCTCCCACGCCACGGGTCGCTCGCCCAACACAAGCCCAGGGGTCTGCGAACCTGGAGGAGGCTCCTGGACGCCGTCTGCACGGCACTCACCTGGGATCGCAGAGCCGCTGACCCCAGGTCCCAGCGCAGACCCCGCTCGGTGAAGTCTCTGCCCACTGCCCCCTCTGCCCGCTTTATAGCGGCTTGGGGGAGGGGCATTGGGACCCGACCAATGGGGCTAGCCCACTCGGGGGAGTGTCAAAGGGGCGGGGCTGAGGCTTCGCTCCCCTCCTTGAGCTCTCCTAGTGTGCTGCAGTTGTCATGGCAATCCAGGGACACCTGATGGCCATGGATTGCGCTGCCTTTGGCCAGGTGTGGTCACCTGTCACCTGCTGTTTCCATGAAGATACAGGAGGGTAATCCCGGGCCCCATTGACTGGCCACATGACCTTGGGCAAGTCTCCAAAGATTGTATTCTTTTTTAAATTTATCATTTAATGCCAGGAGCCAAGCCATTCCATACCGTTCCCTCGGATCCTCCTCCTGCCTTTTTGTGGTATGGAGATTGAACACTGAGCTCCACCCCCAGCCCTTCCTTCCTTCCTTCCTTCCTTCCTTCCTTCCTTCCTTCCTTCCTTCCTCCTTCTTTATTTTTGTGGGGGTTTTGTTTCGTTTTGATTTTTGCAGTACCAAGGATTGAACTCGGGACCCTGCACTTGCAAGGCAGGTGCTTATGCCCTGGCCCTCTGTCTTCCTTTTTAAAACAGGGTCTCAAAAAATTGCTACATTGGGGCCAGGGAGATGGCTCAGTGGGATAAGTGCTTCCCTGACAAGCGCAAGGGCCTGAGTTCAATCCCCGGTTCCGGGAAAAAAAAAATTGCTAAATTGCCTAGGCCAGGCTTGAATTTTCCGTACTGTCTCAGCCTCCCAGAGTCCTAAGATTATAGGCATGTGCCACCATATCTGGCCTTTGGGCCCCCATTACACAGATAAGCAAACTGAGGCCTAAAAGCTTAAACCACTTGTACCCTTCCATAGAGAGGAAAGGATCTGATTGAAATCCACCTCTGTTCAATTCCAGGCCCTTCCCCTCCAACCACACATGACCCTCCATCTAAGGGGTTGAAAAACCTAACTTCCTAGGGACTTCCAAGATCCCCCAGCCCTTCATGCCTGACTCTGTTGGCAGGGCCCACCCCCAGGATCTGAGTTACAAGAGCAGCCCCCTGGGTCCCTGCCATGCCCTCTGCCCCATCCAGCCCCCGGCTTGTCCTGGGCAGGTATCCCTCTGATGTCCTAGGCCAGTGTGACACATCAGAGACTTGAGCAATCTGGGACACAAGCTCTGGCCAAAATCCACCTGTAAAGTGACACCGGGCAAATGGTTAGTTTTATTTCCAACTAAATTTCAGGATGAGGGAGGGGGAGAAGCCAGAGGCAAGCTGAGCTCAAGTCCACGATGACCCCGTCCGGTGCCCCGAGATGTCTATTGAGGAAATGCAGACAGTCCTGCCTCATCTGTCCCTTTTTCATCCCAGGCACCCCAAGATGTCTATTGGGGAAATGCAAGAAACACCGATGGGATTTATCCTATTCAGTTCATCAGTTATTTATTTTTTTAAAATTGTTTTTTTTAATTTTATTTATTTGTGTGTGTGTGTGTGTGTGTGTGTGTGTGTGTGTGTG